TGCTTGACAGCGAGAAAGTGTTCAGTCAACATTATCTGTTATTTTTTTCTTTATTAAGACAAACAATGTAGATTTATTTTTTCAAGACTAAAATGCTTCATATTAACTTGTCCGACTTCATGGGCAAGGAGCTGTCACAAGCTCTAAATGATGCAATGTCAGTGTCGGGGACACTCTGGCCCATCCCCATGAGGACTGGGGTGCAGAGCATTTCATATAGGAATTGGGTTTGATCCATTCCTTCCCTGACTCCATCTCACTCCCAAGACTCCTGCCTTCCCTGACTCCATCTCACTCCCAAGTTGCAGAACTCAGGAAAGCACTTAGGTTAGCCAGTCTGTTACAATGAATACAACTCTGGAACAGCCAAATGGAAGACACAGAGAGCAAGGTGTGGGGGCTGGGGCGCAAGGCAGAGCTTCCATGCCCTCTCTGGGCACATAATCATCCTAGAATCTAGGTGTATTCACCAACCCAGAAACTCCCCAAACCCATCATTCAGGGATTTTTATGAGGCTTCAGTATAGAGGCATATTTGATTAAATTCATTGGCCACTGGTGGTGGAACTTAACCTCCAGACCCTCACCCTTGTGGAGATCCAGGATGGGACTGAAAGATCTAATCCTTAATCCTGGGGTTGTTTGGGGGTGACCAGTCCTCTATCCTCAGGCTACTTAGCTCTCCATCGTCCACCTGGGATTCATCTCCTTAACATACAAAAGAGAGTAAGTTGCTAGTTTTAGGAGCTCTAGACCAAATATGTATTTTTTATTCTGGGGCAGTACCCCAACCCCAAAGCCGTGGCCTGAGTGGCAGGGTAGAGAAGGGCACATTTCTGGCTCTGCTCTGGGGGAGCTGAGCCACCTTGGGCAGAGCACTTACCTCCACAGGTTTGTTTCCTCCTGTGCCAAATGAGGAGCTGAATTCAACCACAACCAGAAAGACCCAACTCTCCCTCCCCACTCTGTGCAGACACCACTGTGTTATGCAAGACCCATATCTAATCCTTTCAACAACACAGCCATGTTGTGGTAGCTCTCTCAACTTAGGAGGTAAAGGAAAAGAAGTTCGAAGAGGTGAGAGGTCACAGTCAAGATCACTCGGCTAGTAACAGGGTTCAAACCCTGTCAGCAAAGACTTTCTTTTTCTGCCACACCTGCAATTTGCTCACAAACCCTCCAACTTCGAAACACAACATCAACTTTGGCAAGTACCGTCTGAGGAGCATTCACACATCTTCCCTGGGACCCCTCTTCACACTGCTTCCCAGGCAAACTCTGTCAAAGGTGATCTCTCACCAGCTCTCCCAGAGTTTGTCCTCATTCAGATTTTCTCCTGAAACTCTACATCCACCGCAATTGAAGAAATAACAGCAAGAACTGGTTTTGCCTACCTTCCCATCAGGCAGAAGGCGATTCTGGGCCAAGCCAACCTCCTGCAGACAAGCACGTTGCTTGGACGTGTGATGCCTTCGACCCTTCATGCAATCAACTTGCGGGCTGAGCCCCAGGGCTGCGTGGGCACTGGATGTGGTCACAGAAGACCTCAGCCTCTTTCTGGCCGATGTATATTTTAACGTGTGCAGCCTTTGGAGTTGCTGGCCATCTGTCTGCTCCAGGCCCTGCAAATAGCCACTTCATTAGCTCTTTCATGTGGCTGAGTTTTCTGAAGCATTTCCTCACTCAAAATCCAGCAGAGGTCTCTTATTCCTTTCTAAATGCCTTCACTGAACACCTAACAGGACTCCCATGCTGCGCTGACCCAAGCTCCACAGTGCAGAAGCCACGTTACCAAAGACCCCTTTCCTCAGTTTGTCTTCTCGCACCATGTCCTGGGCCTATTCTATAAATAGGAGCTTCTCCCTGTCTCCTAAGCTCTTCGCAAATGTTCAGACATTCTGGGACGTCCAGAATGTCCTAGAAGAGCTAGAGGTCACAAACCCTGAAATCCCCTCATGCCTCCTTGACCATTTCTAAGCTGATCTGGGAGGGAGTGGAGATTGTTGCCACGTCAGGAGCAAACACCAGTCTGAACTAGAAGCTGGCATGATAAAGAAAGGGTAAGTATAAATATGCCAGGGAGTCACAGCCCAAGCAACTGGTCATCAATAGTCAATTGGCGTTTCCTGCCAATACTCCTCTCTCAGGACAGTATGTGATTCCTAGCACGTGTGGATCCATCCATGTTGACAACCAACCCAGGCTAGTTCAGTGCCCTCCACGGCTCCCTCTGCCCTGACTGTCCTGCGGGTGCTGTGAGAGCCCAGCACTCACACCCACGGTCAACAGTGAGGGCTCCAGGCTCGAGGCCGCAATCACTTTACTTTGGTCCAGATATTAGACCTCATTCTTGTCTACACTTACTGACATGAATCCATACAGCTCTACTGAGGATGTCTTTTTGCCACTAAATCATTTTTTTTCTCTGATCCTGAAAAGATTTAAAGCAAATTTGTCAAAAAGACACAGTCAAATGAGGATAAAGTTAATAAGATGGATTTCTGAATGAGAAAAAGAAGGAAAACACACAGAAAACAGCAATGGTTTCACTTTAATATTATGTCCTTGCTTTGTCTTAAGTCGAAGGTTGCTTATAACAAGCAGTCTTTTTAAAAACCAAACTTAATTGGTAAAAATTGCCAGACAGGAGCCCATTATGCCATTCAGCGTCACCTCTATGATACTGAATGTGAGAAATGGCTTTTCGAATTTATTGCCTACTCAGTTAAACAATTCTGTCTACTCAGATTGGCTGTTTCCTTTTTTTTTTTATTCTTATGTTAATCCCCATACATTACATCATTAGTTTTAGATGTAGTGTTCCATGATTCATTGTTTGTGCATAACACCCAGTGC